TAAATGAGTATGTACAACTTTGATAAAATTATGGAGGAAAGTGAAGATTGCCAGTACAGTTAAGTATTTGGGAGATGTTAAAGACTTATAGAATGGACTGAAATTGGGGAGAGAACTTTACCTGGGAGAAAGGTTATTTGGGTGCTTGGATGTATCATCAAAAGAAGGAATGTAAAGTTATGGTGATGGCCCCTCTGTGAACAATCCAAAAATTTTGAAAAATCTGATTTTCTGAAAAATTCCTTTCGCTTAGCTACATCATTGCCAAGTATGAACTATGTGCAATAACATCGTCTACTCCAAAAATAGTATTATGAGCAAATGATGTATTTAGTTTTATTGTTATATACAGGTACAAGTATTGTATTATTTATTAAAACATAGAAAAGATTCATCTGGCAACACCTATAAGCCAGTCTGCTGAGTTGTGATATCGTGTAATCCTTCTCAGTGCTCGTTTAGCCCATTCAGAGATTAGACCTATGTTGCATGACTCGTGAAACCCCCTACCTTCCCTTGCCCAAGTATTTAAACTGTTTCCTCAGTAATTTTTAGACCACATCTTTGGCTATCAGTTGTCTCATTTGTTATTCTCCCTTGTGTTTCGTATCACCAGTCCTTCCCTTATGACAGTTTGAAGCAGATACTTCTCACCTGACACCACATAAAAAGAAAAGTAGAACAAATTCAAGAATATGAACCTGGATTATTCTACAGAGTTTTATGAATCGGAGTCATTTTAAGGAATTCTAAACCTGGCAACAAAGATAGAGGTGGTGCCTCTTGACACCCTTGCTTTCTAGCAATTGATATTGTGCAAAATCAGGAAGGCACCATGTACCAAGAACTTGTAAATCTTCAAAGGCTTGTAACTCAAAACAAACATTATACACATAAAATTTGGAAATAACTCCAAAAGTGTTTGGACATTTTTAAATTTCTAATAATACTGTACTGTATTAGATTCACCAATGATTGGAAAATATTCCATACTAGAAAGAGTGTGCAACTCAAAAAATTACTATACTGCAGGTAGTAGGCAGCTATCAATCAGGGAGATACTACCACCTGGGATGATATTGAAAGCTTTATGTCTAATGGGAGATCCTGCTGCCATATGGCATCACAAAATTTTTGACCAAGTATCTGGTTGCTGATCTGACTTTCTGTCTCATTTACACACAATTGCAGGGTCTCAATTGTTTCTCTTAGTTTGACAACACAACATACATATACAGGTTGTACCTCTCTAGTCCGGCATTCTGTGGTCCGGAAACTCCCGTGGTCCGGAACGATTTTAGTTTGTCCAATAGGTAGATACAGCTTTTTTTTTTTTTTTTTTTTTTTTTTTTTTTTTTTTTTTTTTTTTTTTGTTTTTTTATTTTTTTTATTTTTTACTTATTTTAATTATTATTATTATTACAGGAGTATTAAATTTTTGCCCCTCAGGCCCCTCGTGGGTCAGTGACTTATGCCCGGGTGGGCTAATCCCCTTAAAAAAAAAAAGCCGCGGGAAATTAAGGTTTGTTTACATCCGGCAGTTCGGCTGCTCTCTCTCTCTCTCTCTCTCTGCTTGTCTATACAGAGTACAACATTTAACCCTTCAATATATATGAGCAGTAAATAAGTGTTGCTTTCATATTCTTATGTAGAGTAATGACGATATATTTTCACATGTGCGCACTTACATATGAGCAGTTACACTTTTTTTTACCATTAATGGTTAGCTACTTATATTGTTCCATTTATTAACATTAAATAACATTACAGGTACTTCAAGCAACCATATTCATTTTTTTACTTTAATTTTACTACAGCTAAACTCAGGGTCTTATTTTCTTCAGTTTTATATGTAGAACCAATCAGTCACTGGTTTCGTAAGCTTTAACATAAACAATGCCGGCAGCCGTCTCGTCTCCTCTAATATTCCACGTATTATTAATAAATTGTATTGTTAATTTTGCACACACGTACATTAATTCAATAAAAACAAATTCAGAAACATTAATTAAAATATATATGAACAGTAAATAAGTGTTGCTTTCATATTCTTATGTAAAGTAATGATGATATGTTTTCACGTGTGCACATGCGCACTTACATATGCGATCTCTCTTTTTCTTTACCATTATCGTTAGCTACTTCTATTGTTCCATTTATTAACATTAAATAACATTACTTAAAACAACCATGTTAATTTTACTACAGCTACAACCAAGGTCTTATTTTCTTCAGTTTTATATGTAGAACCAGTCAGTCACTGGTTTTGTAATCAACGAATACAATGCTGTGTCATTTCCTCGTGTGTTTTAATATTCTACGTATTATTAATGAATTGTATTGCTCATTTTGCACACATAAACATTAATTAAATAAAAAAGACATCCAGTAATAAACAATAATGAATCTTTTGTACATAAGAGAAATGACGCTGTTTACACGATTATGCACGTCTGCACGTTGGCGGGCCGTTCAAACCCGTCGAAATTCAAGTTTCTGCCTTCAAAATTTTTATTTATTTATTTTTTTGTGTGTTCCAATAAAATACGTTAAGAATTAAAAACTTGCGAAATTTGAGAAGCTACTATACGACATTTAACCCTTCAATATGTCTTCAAAGAGACCATGATGCAGAGAAAGTGGTGCTAGTGCTTCCAGGCTTAAGCACAAGTCACTATCTATCCAGGAAAAGGGTGAATTTCCATGGTCCGGCACCGGTCAGGTCCCGAGGTTGCCGGACTAGAGAGGTACAACCTGTATCATTTTGCACTCTTGATATTTTTATATTTTTTATTTTATTTATGGCTCTCTAATATTATTATTATAATTATTCTTAACATTATTATTATTATTTTATTATATTTTTTCCCTCAAGCCTTGATGTGGGTCATTATAAATGACTTGTGCCCGGGTGGGCTAATGCCCGGGAAAAAAAAAAATGTGAGGTGGCCGACAGCAGTGATCTTTGGAGGATATTTTAATGATTTTTTTTTCTCTTCATTGCATGGGTATATATTAATTGTTTGGTTGTAAGTATGTAAGTGTTTGTTGCATTTCAATTATAAGAAAGATAAAAAAAAAATATTACCTGAATTTATTAAAATCTTAATGGAAACACTGTTGAGAGATCCTAAATAATGTGTTAAAATTTCATATAAATCCATCCCTAAAAAGAGGGGTGGGGGGTGGGGGGGGGTTTCCAGTGGGTCGATCCCCATAAAGTAAAAGAGCAGCTCAGAGTTAGTATGATACTTCCTACCTTAAACTTATAGCTGCAAAATATGGACCTAGAATGAAGGAAAATGTTCTCAAATTTAAGTTACCTGAGGCTTCTCGGGTTACCAGAATGTAGTTAAAAGAAAGGTGTTTTGAATGCCTGAGATGACAGAGGGGTGTGAATTACAGTATAGTTTATGATAACATCTGTATTATACCACTGCATATCCTCTAACAGATAATGGGTCACATGGATGTCATCAAGATCATCAGTGATGGCTTTAACATTTACTTCCCAATGATGATTGTGGCACTTTGTCTGGCAACATACTATAGCTTAGGATCCAGGCTGCTGTCTGCTTTAGGGTTCCAGCAGTTTATGTGTGATGATGACCTTACAACAGACCTCATCGAGGAAGGCAAAACACTCATAAGTAGAGGTATGGACAGTTGAAAGTAATGCATGTTGTGTTTCTCTGTCAGAGAAAATATCCAAATAAATGATTATGGCTGATTTTTTTTTAAAAGCTACTTGAGTACTTTAATGATGACAATGATAAAAACAGTACAGGATGTTCCCAAAAAGACCTGGACAACTTCAGTTTTTAATAAATTTAGAACCACAAATCATAAGATTATACTGTTTGTTTTATAGGATACAGACACTCAAAGTTTTGTGCACACCACCAATACAATTCAATGTGTGCTCCATTTGTCATGTGCAGAATTAGCTGAGGTGGACCAACTGCCTGGCCACCATGATCACCAGACAAAACCCTTCTTGATATGTTCCTGTGGGGGTTTGTCAGAGATGTTGATCACAAGACCAAGGTGGCAAACTTGCAGGATCTTGGAGCTTGAATCATAGCTGCATGTGCACTGGTGGAAGCTAAACATGCTGATCAAACGGAGCACACATTGAATTGCATTGATGGTGTGCACATAACTTTTTTAGTTTCTGTATCCTATAAAACAAATATTATAATCTTATCATTTGTGGTTCTAAATTTGTTAACAACTAAAGTTGTCCAGGTCTTTTTTGGAACAGGCTGTATATAAAAATTTTCTCTACAGAATCTCGTCGCCGTCAGAGAATGGAAGATAATGCTGCCCGGCGTAAAGATTTTGCAGAAAGATTTGGTGGTGGTGAATCTTCTGCCAGTATGTACAGGTAAGATACTGGCTTCTGGAGGAAAATCAGAAGTAAAAGTAAGTTGTATAATTAGACAGTAAAGACACAGGCTGGTATATATATATATATACAGTAGTACCCCGCTTAACGCGGTCAATAAAACCCACAGGGTACCGTGTTAAGTGAAAACCGCGCTAAGTGAACAACAGAACATATGGGATTAATTCCAATAGAAACTGGCCCGACCCCCCAAACTCCACTTTTTGACGACACATAACTATGTTGTAGTAAAAATTTTATTTTAAATTTATGATGGTATGAACAAACAAGTAATATAGAAGAGGTTAGGTTAGGAAAAATAAAGGTTAAGTTAGGAAAAATAAAGGTTAGGTTAGGAAAATTAAAGGTTAGGTGTAACACTTACGTTAGTAGAAGACACACACTGCGCAACCTTACAGCGCGGCTTGCCCAGGCGGAGGGAGGGAGGAGGAAGGAGAGGCGAGGCAGACGGGAGCAGCGGGTGGCGGGTGGGGCGAATCTAAAAATAGCGTCTTGAGCCGGACACTCGCCGCGTATATGTGGAAAAAACCCGCGTTAAGTGAAAGTTCGGCTCTGGCGAGGCACCGCGTATATGATAAAACGCGCTAAGCGAAACCGCGTTAAGCGGGGTATTACTGTATATATATATATTTTTTTAACGTGTGCAATACTGTATTATCTACAGTATAAAAAAGTTACTTTATATATATATATATATATATATATATATATATATATATATATATATATATATATATATATATATATATATATATATATATATATATATATATATATATATATATATATATATATATATACAGTGAACCCTCACTTTAAGCGGTTTCACTTTACGCGTTTGTACATTTACGCGGTACCCTGCCAGAACCGGAATTCCCACTTTACGCGGTGCATCTACTCATATACACGGATGAAGTAAAAAAAATTTTATTTAGCTCATAAAATTCATACAAATTATCCGGCCAGAATATAATTTACATTGCTGGAATTCTTACAATTTGATGATCATTTTGAATATAAGCATCATAGATTTTGCATTAGACATACAAATTTTAGATCTAATGTAAGTATTTTGTTTACTCTGAGTAAATATGTTATCTTTTGTGCAAAATATATGACATTTATATTCAAAATATTCCTGGTCTTACAAGGAATCCAGCAATGCCAATTATATTATCCTAACTTTAGTTTGAGGTATTATTTATTACTATACCTTAAAATCTAGTGGTTTTCCCCCAAAAATTTCTCAGAGGGAAGAGCCAGCGAGTGTAGTGTGAGAAGAGGGGGAGGGAGTGGAGTCCATTATTTGAATGGACATTAACTTGGCGACTGTATTTCTCTATTTCTATTTCTCTATTTCTCTTAAGTATTAATTGTGTGCATGTACCATCATAAAATTAAGATGTTATTTTTACTAGAACATAGGTATTGTGTCGGAAAAAGTGGAGTTTGGGGGTCAGCCGGTCTCTATTTCATTTAATCCCATATGTTATGTTGTTCACTTTACGTTGCCGCTTTTACCCAGCCTATGGGTTCACTGACCGCCAGTGAGGTTGGATTGTGTATATATATATATATATATATATATATATATATATATATATATATATATATATATATATATATATATATATATATATATATATATATATATATATATATATATATATATATAGATATAGATATAGACAATATATATATATATATATATATATATATATATAGTCCTGCACATAACGCGATAATTGTGTTCTTGTAAAATATCGTGTTATAGAAAATCGCGTAATAGAAATAACAGGGTTTATGGAGAAAATAGGGTTAGGTGCAGATTACTCGAAATCGAAAAAATTTAGTAGTTAGCCTAACACAAAGGATAGCACAGTCTAAATAAATGTTACATTCATATCTAATAATGAAATCATACAGTAAATTTAACACTTTACCTTGAAAAAATATGAATGTAACTTGATGGGGGAGAAGGGTGATTTTGAGGTTGATAACATCGAGCTTCTCTTCAAGTGTTATATCCTTTCTTTTACGATAATCACCGGGAATTCTATCATCAGAACGCTTTTTGGAGATATTCTTCTTTACCATATTCACAGTTAATACCACAAAATTGGAGAAATAGTAAGCAAAAATCGCGTTATAGCAAACAAGCGCTCGCGTTACACAAATATTGTTCCGAATTCATAAATCGCGTTATCAAAACACGCGTTATAGCAGAACTCACTGTATATATATATATATATATATATATATATATATATATATATATATATATATATATATATATATATATATATATATATATATATATATATATATATATATATATATATATATATATATATATATATATATATATATATATATATATATATATATTTATATATATAGATATATATATATACAGTTGTACCCCACTTAACGCGGTCAATAGAACCCAGAGGGTCCCATGTTAAGTGAAATCCGCGTTAAGTGAACAACAGAACATATGGGATTAATTCCAATAGAAACCGGCCCGACCCCCAAACTCCACTTTTTGAAGGCACATACCTATGTTGTAGTAAAAATAACATCTTAATTTTATGATGGCACATGCACACAATTAATACTTAAGAGAAATAGAGAAATACAGTCGCCAAGTTAATGTCCATTCAAATAATGGACTCAACTCCCTCCCTCTCTCACACTACACTCGCTGGCTCTTCCCTCTCAGAGAAATTTTTGGGGGAAAACCACTAAATTTTAATAAATAATACCTCAAACTAAAGTTAGGATAATACAATTGACATTGCTGGATTCCTTGTAAGACCAGGAATATTTTGAATATAAATGTCATATATTTTGCACAAAAGATAACATAGTTACCTAGAGAAAAAATTTTATCTAAAAATTGTATGTTTAATGCAAAATATATGATGTTTATATTCAAAATGATCACCAAATTATAAGAATTCCAGCAATGTAAATTATATTCTGACCGGGTAATTTGTATGAATTTTATGAGCTAAAACAAATATCTTCAGTTAATAAAAAAAAAAATAATTCTTCACAGGGTAACAGATGGTCGGTCGGTCCCTCCCTCCCCCCCACCCCCCACCAACCGTCCCAAGGAGATGTGTGGGATAACCACTAAATTTTAATAAATAATACCTCAAACTAAAGTTAGGATAATATAATTGACATTGCTGGATTCCTTGTAAGACCAGGAATATTTTGAATATAAATGTCATATATTTTGCACAAAAGATAACATAGTTAATTTGAGAAAAAATTTTATCTAAAATTTGTATGTCTAATGCAAAAATATGATGTTTATATTCAAAATGATCATCAAATTATAAGAATTCCAGCAATGTAAATTATATTCAGACCGGGTAATTTGTATGAATTTTATGAGCTAAAACAAATATCTTCAGTTAATAAAAAAAAAAATAATTCTTCACAGGGTAACAGATGGTCGGTCGGTCCCTCCCTCCTCCCCACCCCCCCACCAACCGTCCCAAGGAGATGTGTGGGATAACCACTAAATTTTAATAAATAATACCTCAAACTAAAGTTAGGATAATATAATTGACATTGCTGGATTCCTTGTAAGACCAGGAATATTTTGAATACAAATGTCATATATTTTGCACAAAAGATAACATAGTTAATTTGAGAAAAATTTTTATCTAAAATTTGTATGTCTAATGCAAAAATATGATGTTTATATTCAAAATGATCACCAAATTATAAGAATTCCAGCAATGTAAATTATATTCTGGCCGGGTAATTTGTATGAATTATATGAGCTAAAACAGGCAGTCAGGCAGGGTGGGGCAAATCTAAAAATAGCGTCTCGAGCCGGACACTCACCGCGTATATGTGGAAAAAATCCGTGTTAAGTGAAAGTTCAGCTCTGGCGAGGCACCTCGTATATGATAAAACGCGTTAAGTGAAACCGCATTAGGCGGGGTAATACTGTATATAGATATATATATGTATATATATATATATATATATATATATATATATATATATATATATATATATATATATATATATATATATATATATATATATATATATATATATATATATATATATATTCACACACTAGAACTCTTAAATCACTATTGTAATGTGATACAGGTGATTAATTTTATCTCTTGTGCATAATATATGACATTTATACAGTGAACCCTCACTTTACGCGGTTAATTCAACCCACAGGGTACCGCGGAAAGTGAGAAACGCGTAAAGTGAACAACATAACATATGGGATTAATTGAAATAGAGACCGGGCCGACCCCCAAACTCCACTTTTTGACGACACACAACTATGTTGTAGTAAAAATATTATCTTAACTTTATGATGGTATGCACACACAATTAATATAGGTTAGGAAAAATAAAGGTTGGGGTTAACACTTACGTTAGTAGAAGAGATGGGTCGGCGTACGAGAATGGAGGCTGGTTCCGAGGCAGAGGGCAGGCTACTGGCCCTCAGGTGAGTCACCATCACTGTCATCCACACTTGTCAGGGCCTCCCTGACAAATCCCTCAAAGTCATCATCACTGTCTCTACCTCTGTCACTATCACTGGCTTGGGCTGGCTGTGGTGGGTTGCGGGTGAAGAACTCTGTTATGCTTTGCTGACGGCTGGTGTTTATGTTGTCGTGATAAACCTTGATGTAGGGCTCCATAGTCTGCAACAGCTGGGTAGTGAAGATTTCATACCTGTTTGCGTCAGGGTCGTCGGAAAGGAGGAGCTTGGCTTTCTCGATACACTCGATGGCACCCCTAACATTACTATGGGATAAGCGGCGTTCTTCTTGGGATGACGCACCACCTGCCTCTTCACTGACGTCATCATCATCTACCATCTCGTCGGTAGTCACATTAGAATCCCTTATCACCTCCAGGATGTCGTCGTTGGTGGTCTCAGAGAAGCCTGCAGCTGTAACACTCTGCGCAGCTTCTCTGGCAAGGTCCACTGATACTGCAACAGTCTGAACCTCACCAGTCACAGATTGACTCTGCCTAACG